TCCTTCATCATGGTGTACATCCATATGAGGTCATTATGCAGCTACCCTGGATGAGCAAAGTCTATTTTGGGGCTGGCTGCATAAGCTTCTTCATTAAAAGGAGATGGAGGAGAGGGGGATTCATGACGTGTGTTCGGAGGACCTTCACTTGAAGCTCTTTTGTTGTCTCTTTTTTGTTTACTGCCCTTAGGTTCTTCCTTAAGAACAGATTTTCCCTTTTTTGACACATTTGGAGTGGTTGAGGTGCAGCATGCAAAACCTCTTTCACAAATTCCTTTTCAGAAACTGTTTTAATCCCCCTTTTTAGCTTAGAAATACAAACAAGGTTTATCATCTCTTTGAGATGGCACATTTTATCCGAAGGGTTGTCAACCACACCCTTGGATTTACATAAACCAGTAATGAAACTAGGATACCACAACTTCCCTTTCTTATGGGATGCACACTCACAAATTCCCTTTTGAATAAAAAGGGCTGCATCTACTTTCTTTCCAGTCAGTAGACACCACAACAAAATAGTCCTATCTTTGGTCACTAAATGGACATGGGAAGTTGGAAGAAGTCTTGCTCGGATAAAGTGATACCACACCTGGGCTTTTTCCAGCAAATGTTTTTTTTGAGATGGTGTGGTTTTCTTTGTTAACCTCCCATTGTGTCCCTGGGACAGCAATGGTGAGCAAGACTTCCTGCAAAAAGGAATGGTCAGACTTCTTTTTAAACACCTTATATTCATCATTGGAATTGGGGAGAGCATAGTATGCTCTCACAGCTTTGGGCCCATATGAGACCTTCACTCCCCTACAAACTACTTCTGTTTTTTTTTATCAGTAACCTCAGCATAAAACTCTTGCACTATAGTGATGTTAGCTGCGTGCTGAGGGTGCAAAAAGAGTTGCTCCCATTTTTGGGCTTTCATCACTTCATAGACATAGGGGGGATAGTCATTGTGCCCCTCAAATCCCTTATCGGGAATGGGGTCTCTATGTTTCATTACATCCTCAAACCTCTGCAGAACATATGCAGAGGTGAAAGATGTGATGGAATGACTCTCTGGGTCATTTGTGGAGTGTTGGACATCTGGTGTAGATGATCCCCCACTCCTCAAGTTCTTCCTCACCATAGGTACTGGCTAAAAGTTAGAATTAAAAGAAAAATTACTAAAAGTAAAAACTAAACAGAGAGTAAAAGAGAAGGAGTAGATAGCACCAGTAGTGGTAAAAAGCCCCAAACTTAAATCTGAGTAGTTATGAAAAACACCTGTCAAAACATAAAAATATATATATATTTTGTTAGTAATAAACTGGAAAGTAAACTGAATTTAACAAAATAGGTTGTAGGAAATATTAACAAATATCCCAGCATTCAAACCATTTTTCTTTTTCTTTTTTTTTCAACAAACAAAACAACAACTAAAATATGTACAAAAATAAAACTGTAATAAAGCTTAATTTTTAGAGTCTCAAGCTAGACTCTTCACTGTTTGTTTGTGTTTTTAAATGGTGGGAGGGTCAGTAAGAGATATTGAAATTTGAGCTTTCTCAATTCCCTCCCCCAAGTAATTTTTTAATCTTTGACCATTAACACTGAATTTGGTCCCATCTTTCTCATTCGAAATATCAACTACACCATGCAAATGGACTTTGGTCACCTTGAATGGACTAGACCATCTAGACTTCAACTTACCTGGGAAGAATTTTAGTCTAGAATTAAATAGCAGGACCTGTTGCCCCACTGCAAACTGTCTATCTAGGATTTGCTTATCATGCCATCTCTTCATTTGTTCTTTATACAATTTGGCATTTTCATAAGCATTTAATCTAAATTCGTCCATTTCATTCAATTGGAGAATTCTCTTTTCTCCTGAGGCAGTGGCATCAACATTCAGTTGAGTGCCCAATATGCCTTGTACTCCAGCTCTAAGGGTAGGTGGCAATTTTTACCAAAAATCAGCTTGTAAGGAGAGCAACCTAAAGGTGTTCTATAAGCTGTCCTATAGGCCCACAAGGAATCATCTAATTTCAGGGACCAATCCTTCCTTGAAGGATTCACAACTTTTTCTAGAATCCTTTTCACTTCTCTATTTGTAACTTCAACTCGCCCACTTGTTTGTGGGTGGTAGGCAGTAGAGACTTTATGCTTAACTCCATATTTGGCCAAAAGGGTTTCAAATTGTCTACTAGCAAAGTGCTTATCTCCATCACTTATAATGGCTCTTGGAGTTCCAAATCGGGTAAAAATATTCTTTTTCAAGAATTTAATTACCACTTTTGAATCATTTGTGGGTAAGGCAGCAGCCTCTAACCATTTGGAAACATAATCCACAGCTACCAATATATATTGGTTCCCAAAGGAGGGAGGAAATGGGCCCATAAAGTTTATGCCCCACACATCAAAGATTTCTATTTCTAAAATTGGTTTCAAAGGAATTTCTTGCCTTCGAGACACATTACCAGTCCTTTGACACCTATCACATTTACGGACATAGACATTGGCATCCTTGAATAAGGTAGGCCAATAAAAGCCAGATTGCAGCACTTTTGCTGCTGTCCTTAAACCACCAAAATGACCACCATATGGTGAGTCATGACACTGCTGTAAAATTTCCTCTTTTTCTTCCTCCAACACACATCTCCTAATTATATGATCAGCACATTTTTTAAACATGTATGGTTCATCCCACAAATAAAATCTGCTCTCATGTACCAACTTTTTCCTTTGTTGGTAACTCAGCTCCTTAGGAAATACCCCACTAACTAAATAGTTAGCCAAATCAGCATACCATGGGGTTGTCTTGGTGGCAACTAAAAACAATTGCTCATCAGGAAAAGTTTCCTTAATGGCTTGCTCAACTACCACATCATCTTGCTGCCCTTCATTAAGCCTAGACAAGTGATCACCCACTTGATTTTCAGTTCCTTTCCTATCCTTAATGTCCATATCAAATTCTTAAAGGAGAAGAACCCATCTAATCAACCTAGGCTTGGAATCTTTCTTTTCCACCAAATATTTTATGGCAGAATGGTCAGTATACACAATGACCTTGGTGCCTACCAAATAGGATCTAAACTTGTCAAAGGCAAACACTACAGCCAACAGTTCCTTTTCAGTCACTGTATAGTTCAATTGGGTTCCATTTAAGGTTCGGCTGGCATAATAAATAGAGTGGAAAACTCTATTCTTTCGTTGTCCTAAAACAGCCCCCACTGCCCAATCACATGCATCACACATTAACTCAAAGGGCAGTGACCAGTCAGGGGCTATTATAATGGTAGCAGAAATTAATTTCTGTTTTAGCTCCTCAAAGGCTTTATGACAAGCTTCATCAAAATGAAATGGGGTATCAATTTCCAGCAAGTGACTAAGAGGCTTAGAAGTTTTGGAAAAATCTTTGATGAACCTCCTATAAAAGCCAGCATGCCCAAGGAAAGACCTTATCCCCTTTATGTTAACAGGGGGTGGCAGCTTCTCAATTTGATCTATCTTAGCTTTATCAACCTCTAATCCAGCCTTGGATATCCTATGTCCTAATACTATGCCTTCTTTCACCATAAAATGGCACTTCTCCCAATTTAGGACTAGATTGGTCTCCTCACATCTCTCAAGGACTTTTCCCAAATTTCCTAGACACTCTTCAAAAGAATCCCCAAAGACACTGAAGTCATCCATGAAGACTTCCACAAACTGTTCTATCATGTCATTAAAGATAGCCATCATGCACCTTTGAAAGGTGGCTGGTGCATTGCACAGCCCAAAGGGCATTCTCCTAAAGGCAAAGATGCCATAGGGACAAGTAAAAGTGGTCTTTGGCTGGTCCTCAGGGGCTAAGGCTATTTGATTGTACCCTGAATAACCATCTAGAAAACAGTAATTTTCCTTACCAGCTAACCTATCTAGCATTTGGTCAATGAAAGGCATGGGGAAATGGTCTTTCCTAGTGGCTTTGTTGAGTTTTCTGTAGTCCATACAGATCCTCCAACCAGTGACAGTCCTAGTGGGTATTAATTTTTTTTTTTTCATTTTCCACAACAGTGATCCCACCTTTTTTTGGGACACACTGTACTGGGCTAACCCAGTTACTGTCAGAAACGGGATAAATGATCCCAGGATCCAGCAACTTAATAATTTCTTTTTTTACTACCTCCTTCATGATTGGGTTAAGCCTTCTTTGCTGCTCTCTAGAGCTGCTGGTTTGGTCATTAAAAAGAATTTTATGTGTGCAATAGGAAGGGTTAATTCCTTTTATGTGTGCCAAAGACCAACCTATAGCCCTCTTAAATTTTTTTAAAACAGTCAGCAACTGTTCTTCCTCTAACACAGTGAGCAGATTGGACACTATAACAGGCAATGTGTCTTTTTTCCCTAAGTAAGCATACCTAAGGTGATTAGGCAGAGGCTTGAGTTCTAACACAGGGGGCTCTTCAATTGAGGGTTTAGGAAGTTTTAACCCTCTCTTTGCTAATTTCAAAGACTCAAAATTTTTATTTTTCCAAACCACATCAGTTCTGGAATTCAACCACTTAACTGCTTCCTCAGAATCAGTTTGACTGATTTCTAGACCCTCAAAACCAGAATTTTGTAAAGAGTCTAATGAAGACTCATGCAAAAATTTATCTTTGACTACACAGTCAATGATATTTAGCCTAGAACACTCCTCTATGTCTCTTGGGTATTTCATGGCTTTTAAAATATTGAATTTTACTTGCTCACCATTCACATTCATGGCCAACTCACCCTCCTTTACATCTATGACAGCCCCACCAGTGGCTAAGAAAGCCCTTCCCAAAATAATTGGAACCTCTCGGTCTTCCTTATAGTCTAAGATTATAAAATCAGCATGTAGAATGAATTTATCTACCTTCACCAAAACATTCTCTACTTTACCTTCCGAATAAACTAAGGACCTATCAGCCAACTGTAATGTGACAGTTGTGGGATTAGACTCTCCTACTTTCAACTTTTTGTACACACTCAAAGGCATCAAATTGATACTAGCACCTAAATCACACAATGCTCTGCCTATGTAGTGGTCTCCTATGGTACATGGGATTGTAAAACTTCCTGTATTGACTGCTCTCTTGTGTAAGAGCAACAGTCTCAAACTCTTCTAGCCTCATTTTTCTTGAAAGAATTTCTTTCATGAATTTCACATAAGTGCACATTTGTTCCAATGCATCCACAAACGGAATGTTGACATGCAACTGTTTTAGGAGGTCTAAAAATTTCCTAAACTGATTATCTTGCTTCTGTTTTTGTAACCTTTGAGGAAAAGGTGGTGGGGGTCTGTTTTTGGCAACTGGTGTCTCAACATTTGACTTGGTTGCTTGACCCTTTGGCATAGACTTTTCCATGGAAATATTCCTTAAAGGCTCATCTATAGGGGTCTGATTGTCAGATTCAACCAGAATGGGCAAGGGGTCACTATGCGCAGCTCCTTGGGGGCTGTCATGAACAACAGAATTCTGAACAGGTTCAGAATTTGCATCTTTTTCTTTCTGCATGTTCTCATCTTCTCTTTTTTTTAATGTGGAAGGTCTAACCACAGCTTCTGGCTGATTTACAGATCTGCCATTTCTGAGCTCTATCATATTACATTCCTCTTTATTTCTCCTAGGCTCTTCAGTGTTACTAGGCAGGGTACGAGGGGGTCTGGTATTCATAGTGTTTGCTAAATGGCCTAGTTGGGATTCTATATTCCTCAAAGATGCAGGAATACTTTGTACAACGGCTTCCAAACTGTTTTGCTTAGTTTCATTCTTAACCAAATATTCCCTTAACAAAGCTTCTAAGGAGGAAGGTGGAGCAATAGGCATCTCACTAGGTTGAACAACAACTTGCTGCCTTGAAGTTTGTTGGTAGTTCTGGGTGGGAAAAGGCACTTTGGTTTGGGCATTGGAGGGGCCAGCTTGCTGCCCTTGCCCTTGGAAATATTGAGGATGTTGGTTCTGCCTCCATCCTTGATTAAAATTAGTGGAAAAATTATTTTGGTTCCTATTTTGGTTCCCCACATAATACACAGATTCTGGGTTGGATGGGCAGCTACCAAACAAGTGGGGCCCACCACAGCAAACATAAGTTTCACCTGTGTTCACTGCATTGACTTGAGGTGTAAATATTGGAACTTGAGGTTGAGACAATTTTGCCTCAATGGCTTGTCCTTGGGATCTCACCAAAGTGGACAGTGCATCAAACTTGGCTGAAAGGGCTGTTACCGGATTTATTTCATGTAAACCAGCCACTTTCCTAGACTGATTTCTCTCTTCAGGCCATTTGGCATAATTTTGAGTCATTTGTTCCAACAATTCATGGGCTTGGTTAAAGGACATGGACATAAACATGTCATTAGCAGCAGAATTTACTAAGCCTCTATTTTGAGTACTCAGGCCATTGTAAAAGGTCTGTAACACTGCCCAAGAGGGTAAACCATGGTTGGGGCATTGCTTAAGAAGGAGTTTGTACCTCTCCCACACATCCACTAAGGTCTCACCATCCTTCTGCATGAAGTTGGTGATATCACATCTAGTTTGCACTATCTTGTTGGATGGGAAAAATTTCATGATAAATTTTTCAGCCAGTGTGTGCCAATTAGTCATGGAGTTGGATGGAAAGGAGTTCAACCACTCTTTGGCTTTATCAGCCAGTGAGTGAGGGAAGAGCTTCAATCTCAGCACATCATCTGAGATGTTAGGATTCCTAAAAGTGTTGGCCACTTCTATAAAATTCCTAAGGTGTTTGTGTGGGTCTTCCATCAACAGACCATGGAACTACCCCATGTTTTGGAGCATGGTGAACATCACTGGTTCTAGCTTAAAGGGTACTTCATTCACAGGTTGGGCAATGCTTGGATCTAATTCATCCAACACAGGTATGCTGAAGTCCATCATGGACCTATCATTGTCATTTATGACAGGTGGGTTTTGTATCCTTGGTATTTCATCCTCATTTCCATTTCCATTTCCTACATTCTCCATCTCTTCAAAATTTGGGATTGGGATTTTCCTTTGGGCTCTTCTCCTAACTCTAAAGGTCCTCTCAAGTTCAGGGTCAAATGAATCTATGAACGGGTGTGGAGTTACACTCATGCACCATTTTTTAACTAAAACAGGTAACCTAACTAGTTAAAACACCTAGATTACTAATCAGTTTTGTGTAAAAAAAAATAAACAAACAAAAACCTGCAAACAGAAAAGTCCCAAAACAGTTTATAACCAAACAAATTTGTAACACAGAAACAATATATACCAACTAACAGAATGAAACTAAAAGTAAAAATAAAAAACTGAAAATCAAATAAATGAATACACTACCAGCTATGAAACAATAAGCTAAAAAATTAAATAACAGCAGAATGGCATAAAACATGTAAAAATTCAGATTATTAACAACACAAGAATAACACTAATTCAGAACTGCAATCACATTGAGTTCTACAAATGTACGTTATTGGATCCCCAGCAACAGCGCCAAAAACTAGTTTCCTTGCTAACAGTTATGCAAGTAGCGCGCAAGTATACGCGACAACAAGTACTACAGGGCATATGTGATACCCTTATATCGTTCCAACAAGGATTTTTAGCGTATGTACTTTGACAAAATTGGGTAATTGCTAAAACTGAACCTTTTCTAAAAAAGGGTAAAAAATGGAAAACAAATAAACACAATACTACTACTAAACCGTGTATTCTTTTCTTTTTGGATTTTTCTTTTAAAACTTGAATTGACAACTTAATGAATGGACAATTAGTGGGAAAATAAGTTGGGATATTTTTTATGTAAAACGAAAAGTAAAAGTCAAAAGATTTTTCTTTAGAAGGAGAAATTGGTAACTAGGATTAGATTTGAAATATGTGAAATCAAAGGAAAATAAATCTGAAGTGTTGACACTAAGGTGTAAAACAGGTTGAGTTTTGGTTCCCCTTCCCCAACAGCCTCCAAATAAGTGCTAAAAACAAATCCTTAAAAATTAATTCCAAAGTGTTGGACCCTTTTCTTATTGGTTTTAATCTCTTAAAAACATTTTTATCTTTAACAAATATCTGCACATCTCTGTGCTAAACGAAAGAAAAGACCCTTGTAATACAATCCAACACAACATGGAGGTTGTTCTCATCTCTGAGTATCATCCCTTGAGTGTTCTCACACTCAAGTCCATGTGTTTAACACAGTTCTGGACTTAGTCATTTCTCAATGACTAATTCCCAAACTCATATCCTACTATCAGGCCTCAACAGTAGCATAAATAAATTAAAGCACAGTGTTAAACAAACAGGGAATCAACTTCAAGAAAAATAGTATTCAACACATATTCACGACTGTGGTTTGGGTACCTACACCCAACCTATAAAAAGCTTAGCTGCTATCCATGAGAATGGAGCTTACAAACAGTAAAGGAAAACTCAAGTATTACAGAATATAAAATGCTTAAAATAAAACTACAGCACTGGTCCTAACAACCGGAAATCACAGTGCTGTAGAGACATGCATAAGGCTCATCAGATGAGTCTCATTACAGAACAGAACAGAAAGAAAATTCAAAACTAAAAAATATTCAGAAGACCAGAAAAATAAAATTCCAAAGCAGAACCGAAGGGAGAACCTCATTCACTCCTTGTTCTCCTTTTTATAGCTCTCCTTTCCTTCTTTGCACAATATTCCTCTTTTGCTCCAGCTCAGCAGTTTAACGCGCTGCTTGTGCGCTGCAAATGGGTGGTCCCCACAGTGCTCCACTCCTCTGCTCAGACAATCCGAATGGAATTGTCGCTCCTTCAACCCGTACACTGACGTGTGCTCACAATCGCTCCTGCCTCCACTAAGTAACAGATTTTTGTTTCGCTTTTCTGAACCAAAAATACTGGCTATGGTTTTCTTGTTTTCTTTTCTTAATGGACTGTGGATGTGAGTTAATTTGGACGGATGAACTGTAAGACGAGGACGATCTGACTTTATGTGTTGATTTGTGGCAAGGATTAGGGATGGCTTGAGATGAGGCTTTGCAGAGATGGGCGCGCTCACTATGGGTGTGCTAGGGTTTCTTCTTTTTCTTTCTTTTGGCTTCCGTGTTTCCTGATTCTGTCTCTCCCTTCCTTCCTTTGTTTCTTTCTTTCCTTGCAGTTGTTGGGCTTTAGCTTTATGTCCGGCCCAGTTCGTTCCTTCTTCCTTGCTCTCTTCTTTTCTTTGGGTCACTCTGATTTAAAACAGCAACTGGGCCTAAAAAATGAAATACTTTAGCCCATTAGCATTTTAATCAACAAAAGATAAATTACAAACCTTTGGGGTATTATAATCACAAAATCAATTCATTTCTCTTCATATGCAATATAAATCACATGCTCTAAGTCTCCATTAAGAGACTTATCACACCCCCAAACTTAAATTGTTACTTGTCCTCAAGGGACAAATGCAATGCAACACCACAATTCTTTCGTCAGAACAGTTCCTTAACAATAAACCAAACTTTCATTTCACATCAAACATGCTTCCAAACAGAATTCTCAGAATCTTCATTTTCAGTCAAACATACAACTTTGAATTACTACTCACAAATATTCACTTCTCTTTTTACTTCACAGCAGTTTAAAACAGGCATCAGTTCTTGACTTGCACTGAAGGACATGCAATTAACTCAACAGAAAAATCTATTTCTTATCAATCAGAGGAAAAGATTACAGTTAAAGCATCAACAAATTAGTGATTAGTGTGACTTCAATGTTCAAGTGTGATCAGTGGCAATTGAACAATAACAAGGGAGACCATGACTCATCATTACATAATACAGAGAACTACATCTTCATAAAAGGCAAATGAGAATGGCTAAAACTCTCTCATCACACATGTTTATCACTCAATTGTGCAGGGATCTGTTTAACTCACACCTTTAATGGGAATAGCCTTAACATAGGCTTGATAGGATGCTATGGCTTTTGAATGACACACACATTAGACTTCAATCAGAGGGACTTCATGGTTGTATCTTAGCTTGGGTTAAGGTGAGAAAGTTATGGATGAATGGCTAACTCAGCTATGATGGACAAGTGATGCAATCAGACAACTTAACTAGACATTTCCATGGCTGCCAAAATTTTTACTCTCTTGTACTTTATATTTTTTCTTTTCTTTTCTTTTCTTTTCTTTTTCTTTGACAAGCATTCTCTTTTTTTATAGTGTACATTCACACATTTTTCTCTTTTCTTTACCCTCAACCATTGAACTGAATTCATTTTCAATGGATTGCAACTTCACAAAAAAAAAATTATTCCATCATCATAGCTAAGTGGGAAGGTCGTCATGTGCTGGGGAAAAATGAGGGAGTCTAAAAATTAAGCTACAGGCTCAAAGTGGGTTAACAAAGATAAAATTTCAAGGTTGGCTTTTTGGCTAAAGGGGTTAATCAGAAGAAAATGTGCCCTCTTCATCTTGAAGCTTACTTATGCCTCACCTAATTACCTAGCATCAAATCAAATTCTGTTTCTTCTATCCCAAAAAGGAACCTCAGAAAAAAAAATAACTGTTTATGGATCAAATCTTCACTAGGCTAGGCTTAATCACCAACTCACTTGCCTCTTGTTTCAACTTCATTCTCTGCCTTATTCATTTTAGCATTCAGTCTCCCAATGCTATTATCTCACTTCCCTCAATCCACTTGTCAATTTCCATCACACTTTTCACAAAAAAAAAAAAAAAAAATTCTCTTTTTTTTCACACAAAAATTCAATCCAATCCTCTAATTAATCCACCAAACAACTGTTGAATTCTTTTCAAGTCCTTCCTACATGTTTTTTACTTTTACTTTAAACAGCAACTAACCTCTACCTAACTCAAAACAACCAAATAACAAGAAAACATCCTACAACTCTAAAAACAACAAAACCATTCAAAACAAAGGGAAAAAAAATAATCAGCAAACAACTACAAGTCAGCATCACAGCAATTCAAACAATTTCCTGCTTCACCCCCCCCCAAACTTAGAATGAACAGTGTCCTCACTGTTTCAATGCCAGCCAGGTACCAAAAATATGGCAAGTAAGAATAAGGTAACCTGGGGCCAGAAGAGGTTCTGGCCTAATCCTCCATATAATCTGAGTCCTCAGACTCAGATTTTTCAGATTCCTCCGAAGCAGATGGGGTAAGGATTTTGTCCTCCTCATCAGTCTCCTCAATCTCCTCAAGAATGGGCTCAATCTTAGAACGTGGCCTTCCTCTTTTCCTTGAAGATGGAGTGTGTGCAGGTTGAGCAGCAGGTGTGGCTTCAGCAGATGGAGCAGATTGTGCTCTTTGAGCTTCAACTCTAGCTTGAAATAGATGCTGGACCTGTGGATCAGTACAAATAGAAACTGAAGGAAAAGTGAGACCATGACGAAAAATAGGCATTGCAGGAAAATTAACAAAATTATTTCTAAAAAATTCATTCATCACTCTATCTCTCTCAGCAACATAGGTGTAAAACCTCGTTTGTTCATTTAAAACTCAAAAAAATTGCTCATAGTATTTCTTGAACAACAAATCGGTGTTGCTATAATCCTCCCTCAACTCATTCATCATGGTGTACATCCATGTGAGGTCATTATGCAGCCACCCTGTATGAGCAAAGTCTATTTTGGGGCTGGCTGCATAAGCTTCTTCATTAAAAGGAGATGGAGGAGAGGGGGATTCATAGCGTGTGGTCGAAGGACCTTCACTTGAAGAACTTTTTTGTTTACTGCCCTTAGGTTCTTCCTTAAGAAAAGATTTCCCCTTTTTTGACACATTTGGG